CAGGTCTAGGTTAATACATCTATATGTTCTAATTAAAAGAAGATATTACATTTTACAGTAGCTAAAAGGATATATGAGGTACGCAACAGTGCGGGGCCAGGTGGATCCACCCCTCACCGCTACCTTCATACATCGGAGGGCCCTGAAAGTCGCAGCCTGGCCCCCTCCAAACCCACACGTCCTAAAATGCCCGGGCAGCCCCCTCCCCACCTGCTTCTCCGCGAATCCCCATCTAGAGGTCCCTCCTGCTCGGAGACTCAGTTTCTCCATTTCGGGAAGCCGCGGACTGGAGGCCGGGAGCTGGAGCGAGAACGAGCCTCTCCCCCCCACCCCCACCTCACCCCCCCATCTTCGCGATCCCGGCTCCTCCCCTCTGACAATGCCAAGGCCGCAGTGGCAGCGGCTGGAGCGCAGAGGATGCTTGCCCAGGGCGCCGATCCCTCCCCACGGGGCGCCGTCACGCGTGGGGAGGGACGCAGGGTGCTCGCAGCCTCTACTCCCCCGCTCCCTTTGGGGGAGGAGGGATGGGACGTAGGAGCTGGAGCCGAGGGCCGGGTGGCTTCCCCTCCCCCCGCTTCCCGGGGCCCTGACCTGATTACAGCCCCTCCCGGGACCCCCTCCATCCCCTGAGTCCCCGCCTCGCCCCCACCTGGCCGATCTGTAAGCTCTTGTACCCTTCCCTTCCGAGGTGCTGACCCTACAGAAAACCCCTCTTGGAGGAATGGGAGCCCTGGAAGGGGGTGCTCGTTTCTCCGGCCGCTGCGGACACCCCCGCCCCCCGCCCCTGCCCCTCCTCCTCCAGCTTTCAGGCCAGCCCCTCGGCTCCGCCCCGTTCCTGGCCGCACGCAGGGCGGGACCCAGTGGGGATGGGCGGGTGTTCGGGCCAATGGGCGGGCGGGGCGGTGGAGGGCCCGGGCGGGGCGGAGCCGCTGCGGAGGGCTGGCTAGGGGCCCGGGGCGGAGCTCGCGTTAAGGTGGACTGCGCGAGATAGGGGCTAGAGGGGAGAGGGAGAGAGAGGGAGAAAGAGAGAGAGGGAAAGGGACCGTGGCAGGTGAAGGGGGAAAGAGATAGAGAGGAAAGCGGGTGGGAAAAGAGGAGGGTGGGAAAGGCCCGGGGAGCAAAGGAAGAGCTGGGTGGACGGGAGCGGGGAGGGAGGGACCCATCTGCGCCCTGCAGGGACTGGCTGGACCAAGGGGTTGAAGTTTATGTCCTTATTGGGTGGAGGGAGGGGGGCCTGGGGGGCGGGTGAAAAACCAGGAATGGACAGAGGGTGTTCCTACCGGTGGGGGGGGAGTTGAGGGGTGGCAGGGGGCGGGGGGAGGGAGGG